CCCCTGCCTAGAATCCTCCAGTGAAGGGCTGGGGGTGTGGTTCAGTGGTAGAGCCCCTGCCTAGAATCCCCCAGTGAGGGGCTGGGGGTGTGTCTCAGCGGTAGAGCCCCTGCCTAGAATCCCCCAGTGAGGGGCTGGGGTGTGGCTCAGTGGTAGAGCCCCTGCCTAGAATCCCCCAGTGAGGGGCTGGAGGTGTGGCTCAGTGGTAGAGCCCCTGCCTAGAATCCCCCAGTGAGGGGCTGGGGCGTGGCTGAGTGGTGGACTAGTTACCTACCATGCAGGAAGTCCTAGATTTCACTCAAAGGAAGGGAGGGTGGGAGGGAGCCCAGGTTCCCGGGAGAGGCAGGAGTCTGCCCAGTGGCCTCCAGCCCTCTGGTCTGTCCGTCCCAATATAGGCTCACCTGGGTTGTCCACCCCAGTCTGGATGACATCGTCCAGAGTGAAGCCGGAAGGGGTCTCCTTGTCTCGAAGCTTCTTATAGAGGTCGGGGGTCAGCACCTTGGCCATGTGGTTGTTGTGCTTGCTGAGGTCGGGGTACTCTTCCTCAGGTTTGTAGTTCAGCTTGAACTTGTTGTGAGTGTTACCAAACGGCATGGTGGCGGCTTGGGGGACCCTGCACAGGCGGAGGGGATGGTGAGCTCAGACCCAAGAACCCAGCTGCTGGGGGCTTGAAGCGGGAGGAGTCCTCTCCCCGAGAACCCCAGCCTAAGTTGGCCTGATGTGGCCACGTTCTGACTGTGTGACCGTCCTAGGGACCCAGTCTCTCTAGCTGGGAAAGAGGGTGAGACCTTTTGTCCGAAGCCAGAGAAGTATGGTGATAAAGAAAAAATTTAGAATCTGGGGGCTGGGGCTCAGTTGGCAGAGCACATGCCCAGCATGCACAGGACCCTGGGTTTGGTTCCCAGCAAAACCGGATATGGAGGCTCGTGCTTGTAATCCCAGCACTTAGAGGATCAGAAGTTCAAGGTCATCCTCAGCTACATAGAGAGTTGGAGGCTGGTCCCAGCTATATGGGACTGTCTTAACCCAGAGGGACTGAATAGAAAGAGGCCTTGGCTGGGCATGATGGCCCTGAAGCTGAGGCAGGAGAATTGCAGTGAATTCAAGGCCAGCCTGGCCTACAGAGTGAGACCCTGCCTTTCCATAAATAAAAATACATAAATAAAATGGATAAAAAGAGCAAAGGATCTGGAATCTGATGGCCCAAGTTTGCATCTCAGCTCTTCGTCTTGCGACAAGCTGTGTGGCTTTGAGCAACTTGTTTGAGTCTCTGTTTCCTTATCTATAAAGTGGAGACTGTGACAGTGCTCACCTCTTTGGAGGGATCTGAGGACAGGTAAAGCACCTGGGCCAGTGCCTGGCATATGACACACATTGTCTTATTCAGTTATTGCTCTGGGGTTTGTGATGGTTTAGATGAGAATAGTTCCCACACGCTCTCATTTGAATGCTTGGTACCCAGTTGGTGGGACTGTTTGGGAAGGATTGGGAGGTGTGGCCTTGTGGGGGAGGTTTGTTAGTGGGCTGGCTCTCTTTGCCTCCTGGTTGTGGATAAAGATGGACACTCTCCGCAACTGCTCCAGCACCGTGCCTGCCTGCCTGCCTGCCTGCTGGTACGCTCTCTGCCGTGATGGCCATGGACTCTAACCCTCTGGTACTGTGAGCCCTAAATTAATGCTTTCCTTTTTAAATTGCCTCGGCTGCGGTGTTTTTTCACAGAAGTTGAAAACCAATGCCAACAAGCTGTGAGGTCCCGAGGAGAGATTATATGTGTGCCCCTGAGAGAATGGATAAAGGCTCCCTTGAGATTCCCAATCCAAATCAGTCCAGGTGAGGGCATAGGACAGGTCCAGGATGCCCACCTCTGAGTCCCTCTGCCTCTGAGTGTCTACAGGGCCCCTGCTCCGAATCCACATTTCTAAGTCACTGCTGTGTGGCCCCAGGCTAGTGACTGGACCCCTATGACATCTGTATCCTGGGGACCGAGGCTTTCCCATGGGACTGGCAGATCTCTGAGTTGGAGTGGCTGGTAGGATCTGGCATCTGGCATGAAACCACAGCCGGGACTCTAGCGGCTACTGTTATGTGTTCATTTGTATGTGGGGTCATGCCTGTGCACGTTCGAACGGTGGCTAAAAGGTGACCTCAGGTGCTGTCAACTTTGTCTTTTTGGTTTTGTTTGTTTATTTGTTTTGAGGCAGGGTCTCTCATAGGCCTGGAACTAGGCTGGCCGGCCATCGAGACCCAGGGATCCATCTGTCCCATCTTACCAGCAATGGGATTACAGATATTCCAGGCCACAGCCAGCTTTTTTTTTTTCCCGTTTTTTCGAGACATGGTTTCTCTGTGTAGCCCTGGCTGTCCTGGATCTCACTCTGTAGACCAGGCTGGCCTTGAACCCAGAGATCTGCCTGCCTCTGCCTCCCCAGTGCTGGGATTAAAGGCCTGCGCCACCACTGCCTGGCTCAACTCTGTTTGTTTTTTGTTAAGAGTTGTGGATTCTGGTATTTGAACTAGGTCCTGCTGCTCACAAAGCAGACTGTATGCTGCTGGAGCCCCGTCTCCAGACTTACCACTTTTATTACAATTGTTATTATTTTATTGCCTTTTTATTACTAGACCCCTGCAGGTCTGACAATGGGGGACATCCGTGCCTCTGATCAGGGCTGGAAGGCAATGGGGAAAGGCGGACCAAGTTGAGCGAGGGGGGTGGGGCAGGACAGAGACCCAAAGCCCTTGAAGCTGCAGCCTGGTGGCTATTTTTAGATGCTCCCCATCCCCCACCGCACCTGCCCCTCCGCTCGCCTTGCACTAAGTCAGCATAGAGACAGGTGGGCTGGGGTGGCCAGGACACAGGGCCAGGCCCCGGGGCTCAAGGACACTCTGGGCTTCCAGCCCAGACCGCTCCCTTCAGAAGGTGCCCCCCCCCATAGCATGTCACGGACACCCCAGGAGACACTGAGGCCAGAGACAGAAGTCCGAACACCCTTGGATCCCCCAACACGACCCATCACAGACTCCCTAAGATCACAAGGTAAACTGAGTCATGGTGTCACACCCTCGAGATCCCAGAGACAGCCAGACAAAGGGACTCAGGAGAGCCAGGGGACTGTAAGACAGCTCATCACAAGACACTGACAATTTGAGTTTGATCCCCACACGGGGTGGAAGGAGAGACCCTCTGACCTCTGTCACATGGGCATTGTGACCTGGTCCCCCACCCCACACACAAAATAAACGTCATGATCCTTAAAACCTAACAACCAACGAGAGAGCGTCGGGGACAATGAGGCCCAAGGTCACAGGGACGAAACACAGACCCACAGGGCGACAGAGTTGACAGGTATCATGGAGACACCCGCCTCCTTTCGAGGATAAATTCTGCTCAGCTCTGGTCCCAGTCGATCCTGCCTCGCAAGCGGGGGACACTTGGCAGCTGCTGAGACCTCGGTGGGGTCCCCACAACTTGTGCTGCAGAATTCACATGCATAACACTACCAGGCGAGCGGACCCTGGGACTCCCCGCCCCCCACCCCCGTGGCTCCCCGCAGGCCCTACCTGGCTGGGCGGCTCGGGAGAGGCTGTCGCTGTCCTGGAGGGAATGCTGACCCGGGGGCAGAGCCCGCAGCCCCTGGGTTATATAGAGGGGCCGTCGGGGTGTGGTTGGCCAGGAGGGGCTGTCCCCAGGGGGGAGCCCCCGAGGGCAGCTGAGCTTTCAGCTCATTGCCCGGGCACCATGCCCATCCCCATCCCAGGCGTGCTGTGTGCCCGGCCCCATGGCCTTGTATGGGCTGCCCCAGGGGCTGCTGGCCTGTTCCCCGGTTCCCAGACCAAGTGCTGAGTCGAGCTGGCCGGGGACAGCTGGCCCCCCGCCGGGAACATGGAACGGGAATACTTTGAGTGTCCCAGGCACGTAGGAGCCCTGGCCCCCTGAGCCTCTTGTACCGTGCCTCAGGCCCCTGCAGCTGTGGAGGCACCCAGCACCCTCCCCTGGACCCTACTGCTTGCTGAGGACCAGCAGCTGGGAGAACCATTCCAGTTTGGTTTTGTGTTTTTGAAACAGGGTCTTACTCTGTAGCCAAGGCTAGCCTGGAACCCACTATAATATAGTCCAGGCTGGCCTCAGACTTGTGACAATCCTCCTGCCTCAGCCTCCCAAGTAGGATCACATGCCTGACTTCACTTTCATATTTACTTATTTTGGCTTTTTGAGACAGGCTCTTACTATGTGACTTTGAACTCATGACAAACCCTGCCTCAGCCTCGCAAGTTGCTGGGATTCCAGGTGTGCGCCATCTTTTGTAGTTGTGAGTTCAGAACCCGGGACCTCATGCGCACCAGGCAGGTGCTGTGCTGTGCTGTTTCCCGGGGAGCCACATCTCTATCCTGCAGCACCTGGGGGGGGGGGTTTTGCAGTGAGAGCCAAGGGCCCCCGGACCCTGGGGAGGACACAGGCCTGTGGTCACCCAGCTGCAGAGAAGGCAATGACCACGGCCAAAGTTCTAGAACCAGGTGCAGTTTCACCCCAGGAGCCCCGGCACCGGCCGCTCCCACCATTGTGGAACTGACAAGGGAAGAAGCCAGCAGAAAACCTAGTCAAGGGGAGGCGAGCCTGGGCCGAGGGCAAGTGGTGGTCACCCTCGGCCTGCCCCCGGCCCTGGATCCACCGGGGACAGGGTTATTTTTAGAGCGAGCTTCTCTGCCGTGTCTATGGAGCCCAAGACCCGGGCACTGGGATGGGGGGGCTCAGGCAGCAGGTGTTGGGGGGGCCACCACGTGTCCGGGTTAATTATAACCAGGCATCTCGGGTGTCCCCAGGCCTTGCCTCCATACATGGGCAGCTTGGACCCCTGGTGGCCGCTCCCATCCCCAGGGAAAGGTAGGCTGGGTGGTCCCAGAGCTGTGCAGGGCAGATGGAGCAGGACGTGATATGACGGGAGCCTTTTGCACCTCAGCTGTGACCAAGGAGGGGACATATGGAAGTGGGACCAGCAAGGAGGAAGCTTCCTCCTCTGCCTGGGAGGCGCCGGGATTGCAGGGACTGGACCACCTTCTTCAGGACTGCCTCAGGCTCCTTCTCTGGATTCCTGCTGGGGTATCTAACCAGGCTTCAGTCCACTCTCCCCCATTTCTGCCCAGACTGGCAAGGGTAGCCTGTTCTAGGGGCAGAGAAGGGAAGAAGTGCTTTTAAAATGTACTTGAGGTTCAGCCTCTGGCCCTGGCACCCCATGTTCCTTGCCGGCCCGGTCAGATGGGCAAAGATCTCCTCCAGGGTCGTAGAAGGTGATGGCCAGAGAACCAACAGGAACTAGGATTCAAGAGTTCAAGGCTAGCCTGGTCTATAGAGCAAGTTCCAGGACAGCCTGGGCTACAACACAGAGAAACCCTGTCTCGACAAAACAAAACAAAACCCCCAAAACAAAAACGTAAGTTTATTGAATACTTGCTGGGAAAACAAAGGGTGTTCCCTGACCCCTCCTGGCCGGTACAGACAGGTCATAGGCCTTTGAAGGGTGGCAGATCACAGCACTATTTCAGACAGGGTAAATCAAGGCAGGCCTCTGAGGAGGGGATGTGACATCTGATGTGGAGAGAGCCAGCGGTGCAGGGAGGGAGCTGAGGGAAGAGCAGGTGCCAAGGTCCTGAGGCAGGAGCCTTGAGGGTAGACGGGAACAGACACCGCTGGGAAAGGGACCCCTGGGGATAGTTTCTGCTGTATCTATTCGCATCTGATGGGAGCCACTGAAGGTTATAGGCAGGGAGAGGCGGGCTGCAGCCACGTCATGCACTCCAGGCCCCTGAGACCCCTCATGGGTGAGGGGGAGAGACCCCGTGGAAGTCGGAGGACAATTCCTGGGAGTCCGCTCCTTCCTTCTGTTCTGTGGATTCCAGGAATTGAACTCAGGCTGTCAGGCTTGGCTGCAAGCAAGCGCCTTTACCGCCGAGCCACCTTGCCAGCCCCTTGGCGTTCTTTTTCGGCTACATGTAGATTTTCTACGCCTTGGGTGGGGGTGGGGGGGTCCTGTGGTTCTGTGTCACTTGTCTTTTGAGATGCATGCCTAGGATATGGGGGACTCAGTCTCCCAGAATGACTTGCAGTCACGGGCTAATCATGTGACCTGGGATGAGCCAAAGCTAAACTCTTCCTGCAAGAAGGTCAACTGTGGGGGGGGGGGGGAAGGCTAGTGTGGGTGCTGATGCTAAGTACTGCTCTGAGTACTTACACAGTAACTCAGTCTCTCACCGGTGAGGCTCAGAGAGGTCAAGCAACCAGCCCAAGGGCAAACAGCTAGGAAGGGGTAGAGCTGCTGATCAGAGGGGCACAGGGCGGCCAAGAGGGTGTCGAGTTTTAGTGAAAATGACGTCCTGGCCTCTCGGCGTCATCAGGCTGTGTCCTCAGCCCTAGTCCTTCAGGACTGGTCATGTCTGCCCCCTGCCTGTGTCACGCTGCTGCCCCCTTGCTAGGGTGTGAGAGTTAGTGGGTGGAACTGAGATCGGTCAGGAGCCCCAAGTCTTGAGAAGGTTGGGGCCCAGGCTGTCCTGGACCCCACAGAGACCTTCCTGCCTCGGTTTCCAGAGTGATACCACCACAGGCAGAAGCCACCAGGCTGTATTTTGTTCGTTAGCAGTTTTGAGGTCTTACAACCATGTAGCCCAGGCTAGCTTGGAACTCCTAGACACTTGTCCTATCTCGGTATCCCAGTTGCTGGGATTAGAGGCATGAACGGCCTTCTCAATTGAGGTCTCTGCAAACATTTCTGCCTCTCAGGGCCTCAGTTTCTTCATCTTCACGTGGGCCTGGCCGGGGAGCCTACCTCGGGGTATGGATAGCTGAGTGGCTTAAGGATGTCTTGAGGCCTTGGCTGTGTGATCTTGAGAAGGCACTGGACCTCTCTGTGCCTCGTCATCCTCTCACAGTGGAGAGTGGACGGCAGTAATTTGCACGGAGGATTTGGTAAAGGCCCCGCTTGGGGTGTGCAGCCTGCTGGGACCGAGGCCAGCCTAACCACGGTGCCTCCCTGGTGGTTTGCTCCTAATCTTTATCTCCTGTAATCCTCGGAGGCTGCGCGTGTGCAGATAAGGAAACCGGTCACGTGAGGAGATTAGGATGTGGACACAGAGCTACCCATCCCAACTCACGGAATCAGGTCTCTCCTTCTACCAGATGAGTTCCAGGGATCAAACTCAGGCTGTCAGGCTTGGCAGCAAGCTCCTTCAGCCACTGAGGCTTCTCACCCACCCCACCCAAAGACCTCTGGAGGAACTGCTTACAACAGGTTCCAGAAAGTAGGTTCCCTCTCTGGATCTGGTTCTGTAGACCAGGTACCGGAGGCCAGAGATTGTGTGTGTGTGTGTGTGTGTGTGAGAGAGAGAGAGAGAGAGAGAGAGAGAGAGAGAGAGAGAGAGAGAGAGAGAGATTGAGAGAGAGCCAGCAAATGACACAGCTGGGATCTGCATCTGCTTCAGGATGAGCTGGTGGCAGATCCATTGTTAGTGTCGAAGACCAAAGACCAAAACGAACGATGGGGTGGAGCCCTCTTCAGTCCTGGGCCCTAGAAATAACCAGAAAGGTTACAACGTGAGTTTGAATTTATGTCCAGGCTTCAATCCACACTCAGGCTCCAAGGAGGTTGCCCTGCGCTGGGTATTTACAGTTTCCATGTGGCAGATGCCTAACGACCCGGAGTGTGCAGGGGTGAAGACTCTGGGACCCACGAGGCTGCGAGCCCCGGGAGCGGGTGTGTGTGTGTGTGTGTGTGTGTCTCACAGAGGACTTCTTGGGGAAGGACACCCCGGCCTGGGCTCCCGAGGATGCTCGCGCCGCGGGCTGCTCCGTGGACCTGCAGCACCCTCTTGCGGCATCCTCGCGCACTGCAGGGACTTTTCTTGACAGTTCTAACCCGATTCAGTCAACCAGTCACCCTGCAAATATTTCTTGTGCACCTACGTCATGCTGCGATGCAGTCTTGGCCTTGAGAAAAGCAAAAGAAAGACAAGGCACTACTTGTAGAATATTATAGACCCAAGAGCCAACATTAAGGGATTCTTAGCTGCTGGGCCCCGAGAAGCGCAGCGTGGGGGGCATGGGTCTGCACTCCCAACTCTTCAAGAGATTGAGGCAGGAGGACTGTGAATTTGAGCTCAGCTGAGCTTCATAGGGAGACACTGTCCCCCCAAAGTAAAACAAAGATAACTTAGGATATAGTGGCTGTAATTCCAGCACTAAGAGAACCAAGGCAGGAGGATGGCCATGACTGTGAGGCCAGACTGGAATACATAGTGAGATCTTGTCTCAAATTTTAATAAAATTAAAAATTACCAGGCAGTGGTGGTACACGCCTATAATCCCAGCACTCAGGAGACAGAGGCTGGCGGATCTCTGAGTTCAAGTTCTGGTCTACAGAGGAGTTCCAGGACAGCCAGGGCTACACAGAGGAACTCTGTCTCCAAAAACCAAGATAAATAAATAAATTTGATATTTTTATTTTTTTAAATATATATATGAAAAAAAAAACCTGGGGTGGCTGAATGGTGTCTTCCCTAGTGTTTACATGGCTCTGGGTACCATCTCCAGTGATGCACACACACTACCGTTCATGTGAGCCAATTCAATCCCGCCCCCCATCCCACCCCCCAGATAGGGTTTCCCTGTGTAGCTTTGGCGCCTTTCCTGGAACTCACTCTGTAGACCAGGCTGGCCTCAAACTCACAGAGATCCGCCTGCCTCTGCCTCCCGAGAGCTGGGATTAAAGGCGTGCGCCACCACCGCCCCAATCCTTGAAGCCTTTTATTTATTTATTCTTCCTTGAAGCCTTTTAGAAAGCTCTTATTTGGGGGCTGGAGAGGGGGCTCGGTGACTAGGAAGGCCGGCTGCTCTTCCAGAGGACCAGGGTTTATTCCCAGCACCCATATGCTGCTACATAGTTGTGATCTGCAGTCTGTTCCAGGGGATCTGACGCCTTCACCCCAATGCACATAAAATAAATTTAAATAAATTATAAAATATTAACTCTTATTGTGTGTATGTATACACAAAGGCACACGTGTGGGTGCACATACTCCATGCATGTGGAGCTCAGAGAAGCAGTTGCGGGAGTCATTTCTCTCCTTGCTCCATGTGGGTCTTGGCGATGAACACCAACCAGGTTGTCAAGCGTGGCAGAATAAGGGCCTTTACCAAGTTCTGAGGTTGTGATTATTAAAACAATGTTTTGTGAGATTTTTTATCTTCATTGGATGTTTTACCTGCATGTCTGTGCGTCACGTGCATGCTGTGTCTGGAAGAGGGTGCTGGATCACCTGGGACGGGAGGTACAGATAGATGGCTTTGAGCTGTCATGTGGCTGCTGGAAATCGAGCCCGGATCCTCCGCAAGAGCAGCCTGTGCTCTTACCTGCTGAGCCACCTCTCCAGCCCTTCATAGAAAATATAAATTACACTTTTACGTATTTATTTCGTATGCACGCACCTACGATTGTACCCATGTGGAAGTCAGAGGATAACTTGTGGGAATCGGTCTCCTTCCTCCACCCTGTGGGTCCCAGAGATCGAACTCAGGCTTGGTGGCAAGCGCCTTTACCGACTGAGCCCGCTCGCGGGCCCCAAAGAAAGTTTTGGGAAGTTCTCAGACTGCGGGTAGTGCGGCGGCCGGGGGCGTGGCCTGCGCACCTGCGTGGGCGTGGCCCGACCCCGCCCCGCCCTCCCGAGGA